GGGTGGAAGCAACAACTATCCTCCTATTTTGAGGCAGTACCTGTCCTATTTTGTGATACTCTCAAAACACAAGCGGTCAGTGCCGACCGTTCCCGTTTGCGGATGTGTTTGCGTCTATAGGATTGGAGCGCTTTTGCAAGTGTAGCGCGTCGACGCGCATTGCAGCGCGTGGACATGAAGTCTGAACTATGCCCTAAGCTTCATCGGTTACTATGGGCTATCGTGTAGCTTGGCGAAGATGGTTTGGTGGCAAGTGGCCCGCTCATCGCAAGGAGGTTCCGAGGGTCATCCCATAGCAGCTTCAACCCAGATCAACCGAGGCTTCTTCCATCTGCAACAGATTAGTCCAGATTCGCTTGGGCCCATATTGCATTCGAAGAAGCCTCTACGATTCTGAATGGAGGTAAAATGTGTGCCTAATCCCAAAAAGGGGTGATCAGCTGCGAAAGCTTTTCTGTTGTGTGGTGCTATATCCTACCACCTCAAGCTCAATAATGGTTCCAGTACTAATATCATCAAACAACGAAGAAAAAACGGAACGGCATCCAAAATGGGCGGGGCGTACTCAAGGTGGGCGGTGCTTCGCATAAAACTCAGTAACTCGGTTCGCGAGAGTGTTCAGAAGCCGCAAAAAGCTCAGTGCAGAATGTAAATATCTGGCGAGTATTGGGTGCACGCTCAAATGTGTTGTAGATCCGCCACAGTGGCGCGCTTGCCCTAAACCGCAGGGAATATCCATTTTAAAAAATTTCTACAGCTCCAGGTTCCAGCAGCAATGCAAGACCGGAAAAACGATGCGTCATGGTCCTGTCAAAGGTCCTTTTGCCGCATGAGGATCTGGGCGCAACATTGTGGGCGGCTTGCCCCGATTCCGACAAGAGAACTATCAGACGAAAGAATCTGTAAAATAGTTTCAGAGCACTCCAGACACGGGAAAAAGTGGATTAAGGTCAGCAGAGGGTTGCCGATTGAGAAATGTGGGGTATACATATTGTGGGCGGGGCCAGCCCGAGGTGGGCGGAGCCAGACGAAAAAGGTCTGTAAAACGGTTCCAGAGCACTCCGAAGACCGGAAAAAACGTGGATTAAGGTCAGCAGAGGGTCGCGGTGAGGACCGTGGGGCAAAAGCGTGAGCACACGAGCCAGACAAAAAGGTCCTTCAAAACATGGCACACAACATAACATTACAATGTAAAACGTTCCAGAGCAACTCCGAAACCGGAATAAAAGTGAAATTCTGGTCAGCAAGAACGGTCGCCGATCTAGAAATAGTGGGAATACATTATTGTGGGGGCGGGCCAGCACTGAATTGCGCGAAGATGTAGCGAGTAATGGGGCTGGTGTGTATGTGGAGATAAGTATGGGGTTACGATGAGGGGGCAGGGCGCAGAGGTGCGGAAGTCGAGGTGGCGATAAATTCTCTAACTGTCCCAGAACACTTCAAAGACCTGAAAAACGTGGATAGGGTCAGCAGAGGGTCGCCGGTGAGGACTGTGGGGCACAAAAATTGAGGGCGGGGTCCTGCTCCGAAGTGGGCGGAGTCAGACAAAAAGATCTGCAGAAACGGTCCCTAGAGCCACTCCGAAACGGAAAAAGTGGATTAAAGTCAACCAGGGGTCGCCGGTGAAAAATTGTGGCACAAATATGGTGAGAATTGTGGGGGCACAAAGTATATCATAAAGCGCTGTTTCAAGGTGGGCGGAGCCAGACGAAGAATCTTTAAAATAGCTCAAGAGTACTTCAGACACCGGAGAAAAGTGGAGTACAGAACAAAAGGCGGATATCAGTTGAGTCTAGAAATATGTGAGAGGAAGGCTTTCAGCCGCGAGGCGACGTGGGTATAAATATGAGGAAAACACGAAATTAAGTCTCTTCGTATAGGTAAATGCAAAGCAAAGGGCTGGAACTTGCGAAAATGGAGTTATAGCGCTGGGAAACAGTTGCTGCTGGATTATGACCACCTTTTTTCGGAATTTTGATACGCTTGAATGGAAGAAAAGCTTTGGCACGAATCCACCGAATTCCTTTCATTTCGCAGAAAAACCAGGCAGCCTGAACGCCAGACTGGCCGTGCAAGGCTCCGCCCTTTTCTTTCTTCTTCCCCATTTGGGCGGCTAGGCCTGCTTCGAGTTCTGAGATTTGTTTATCCTGGTTGTTTTCTGTTTAACCCATTGCGTACCGCGTGCTGCACATGGTGAAGCACTCTTCGTATGAACTCATTTAGCATTGTTAGATGACTGAAAAGAGTCGGTATATTCCTGAAGTCGTCTGGGACAAAATATGTGTGGGGGAAATTGCAAGATTGAATAATAGCTAAGTTGCTGGCATTTTTCGAGTAATACCTCAACTATTACATTTTTTAATTAACTCTCCTTTACCAATAAAACCGAAATCCTGCTTAGTACACGACTGAAAAATTGTAAAATGGTGAGTAAACAGCTTCTAAGCACACTGCGTCACTTTTTCGATTCTTCTTAATTTTATCAAGCTTTTTTGGCTAGTTTCGCATTTTTCGGCTTTACACTTTTATCAAGTAACAATATTGAATCCCGTTTAGCATACGTTTACACATAAAAGTGATGCATGATACGATGTATACAGATATTTTTATGTTAATATGGAATATAGATAAAATCTTATGTATTTTATACTCAGCGCGCCAGAAATGCGCGTCGCGCAAAAAATCTGCCAACTGCGGTACGCAATGGGTGTAAAAAACCAAGCCATAAAAACACTTTCAGGGCGCTTACGCAGTAAGGAGGGGCATGTCGGGATGCTGATATATGTTACTTGTGCTCGCTTCAACAATTCGGAACGAACGGATCGGGTGCGTGCGTCCAACTCATCTTCCCGCCTGACACGCTCCTTCGGTCCACCGCAAGAATGCGACTACATGTATTCACTGATTGATTTCAGCTCACGATTTTCGTCTGCTACGTCGAAAGTGCTGAGGTGGATGTCGTTGCGGAAGTCCAGACGCCAAATGAGTCGTTCGATCATGACGGCTGCGTCGGCGTTTGAGCCCCGATAAACATCAGCATCGGTCATTCGGGATCTTTTGGCAGTTTCGGTAAGATTTTTATAAAAATTTTGGTGCTGGTATCGTGTGCTGTAATTTGTGATTGTCGGCGGTAGAACCGGTGACGAATAGGGTTAAACGTACAACTGGGGGATAAGGGAAGTCGACGGCGTGACTGCCTTCTCTCGCCTTCTGCTTTGCTAATTTTTCGAAACCTTTCGTCTCCCCCACCCCTCCCACTGCGACTATTTTTGTTCACTTAATTATGGACATTCGTAAGCGTTTGCCCCTAAAATGGTGTATTGGACGCCGGAAGGCGTCGCTTAGTAGCAGGTCAAGTGGATTTCGTTCGAGGTGCGGAAGACGAAGGACGTTATGGGGTGGTTAATTCTAGTGAAGAAGAACCGGCCCGCAGATGAAGATTGCGCCTTACTTGCCGCATATGTAAATGAATCTGTGCGCTTATAAAATCAGACGGCAACGCAATAACCTGACTGGCGAGAGATAGAAGACACCTGTAAGGATCAGCATCTGTGAGTGGAGTGTAGTGGGCGGGTTACCTTCATGGGCGGAGCCAGACCTTCATGGCAGGCCACTGAATTCCTTGCCGCTCACTTTACGAGAAAGCGTGGAATCCTCTGCGTCTGCGGAAAGGGTATCTTGTGCAAGGAAGGAACTGTGGGCCAGGCACCGTCGTGTGTCTTTAACTCATTCCGGATCGCCGCATCATTTCGTCACTTTTCGAATCGGTAAGTAATTTTATCTGTTTCTTCCGCTCTCCTATGAGAGCTGTGTTCTGTGTAGACCTTACATTAGGGAGCGTGAAGACACGCAGGACAGAACTAATGAAACAGCGCAGAAGTGGAAAGCTGGTGTGACATCACCATGTGTGCACGACGGTCGCGCAACGGTGTTCAGGATGCCGTTTGGGATGACACATCCGTCCATGCGATCACAGTTTATTCAATTATCTTTCCAATATAAGAGTGCCGACACAAAATTGTGTTATCAGAGCTTATTACTGGAGATCTATGGCAACATTGTCTGCTTTAAGTGGATTAAGCAAAAAAGCGCAAAATAAAGGGACGCTGCAGACAATGCTGCCTAGAATGTACACGTCAATGGATGAAGCACCTTAATATGGTTCGCTCTTCTAAACAATACAATACATGAGAATTGATTGCAGTAAAAAGTGTACGTTTGGTATCATAGGAAATGTTTTCTTTTTTCACTAAAGATTTAAATCGTAAATCGGAGCATTAGCGAGCTGTCAGTTTTTGAGCATTTGTCTGCGAAGGTTTTCTCTCTGTCCACAAATCCAACGTATCAGACTGCTGATCGGCGAGCTTTGCAGCTACACTTCCCTGCGTCTTTGCTGTCCTCTGAGGCGTCTTCATTTGAGAATATTT